TTTCTGTTGAGAAATCATTTGATAATCTGATGGGGGATCCTTTGTAGGTAACTCTCTGTTTTTCTCTTGCAGCTTTTAAGATTCTCTCTTTGTCTTGTACATTTGCCATCGTTACTATGACGTGTCTTGGTGTGGGTCTTTTGGGGTTCATCTTGCCTGGGACTCTCTGTACTTGTGTAACTTTTTTCTTCCCCATATCTGGGAAGAGAAAGGATTTAATTTATGTAAATATAAGCAAAGCATTAAGAAAAATGAGTCTAATAGTTACCTGTCTCTCCTTTGACCAGATTAGAAAAAAACAGCAAGAAGTAGTGGGCTTTCTGGAAGCTAATAAAATCGACTTTAAGGAGTTTGATATAGCCGGAGATGAAGACAACAGGAAGTGGATGAGAGAGAACGTCCCTGGGGAGAAAAAACCTCAAAACGGGATCCCTTTGCCTCCCCAGATCTTCAACGAAGAGCAGTATTGTGGGGTGAGTGTTTGGTTTCTTGGAAAATTCTTCTGTGTGTGTGTTTCTCAGAATTGTTTAAAGCAGATTAATTTGAGGCAGCATTTGGAGTTGTTCACAACTTTCAGGTCATGACCTATTTCTACCATCCAATAGCTGGATGGTAGAGCCATTGTGAGTAAGCAGCATTTAAGATTTACAAAATGGTGGAAACAACAAAAGGATGATTCAGAAGTTCTTGGGATTATTTTAGGTTCCTTATTTTATTTTGAAGAATTGAGGTCAGTTGTTCAAACAAAATGAGCCTTTAGTTGGCTAGGAATTCTAGTCCACCTGGCAGTGGACACATATATGCACCCACAAAAACACAGGGCAAGTTTTCACTTTCATAACGAGTGATTTGCAGAAGTTAAGTCTTACTGTGGACACAAAAATAAATTGGTGTAAATGTATCTAAGTAGTTTTAAAAACTATACTGGACATTCTGATTACAACAGCAACTTTCTTTTCTAAATTTATTGGTTCATTTCACCACAAAATCACTTTTTCTTTAGAGTTTACAGATTCTATTTAGTACATCAAATTGTTGAAAAGACACATTGAAAAACTCAAAGGACTTGAGAACCTGAGGATTGGAAGTTATTTTAGGGGTCATCTAAGGTTGTCGTAAGTGTTTCCCTCCACGTCCTGCATGGTTCAGGGTTCGGGTCTGGAAGAGGAGCCGCACACAAATGAAATAGAAAAGACACTAGATAATTTGGGAATATTGGGGGACCAGGCGGCAAGTCCAACTCAAGACGGACTTCCACTGTGCTCAGGCCTCACCAAGCTTTTATAGTGAGCGGTAAACAAGGTAGTGGTTACCATAGTTACATAGTTCTTGTGAGTTTCACTTGTTTACAGCATGGTTATACTTCCTGCACTTCCTCAGCCCATTAGATTCCCAGATAAGATCTAGGGAGTGTTATAAGGTCAAGCCTAATTATGCTAAGAGGACTGTGCCCTCTAACCTAGGGCTTGTTTGTGACTTTGCCAGCAGGTCAGTCCGAGGCTTAACCCTATATCAGTCTCCCACATAAGGTCACTGTTCTTTTTTAAAAAATCCTCACCGAGGACACGCTTTATTGATTTTAGAGAGAGGGGAAACGAGGGGGGGGGCAGAGAGAGAGATATCAAGTGGTACAACTTACATATGTGCCCTGACCAGGAACCAAACCTGCAACCTTTCAGTGTACAGGACAACACTCACTCCACGAACTGAGCCACGCTGGTCAGGGCCTGCTGATCACCTTTCAGATGCAGTGGCCAGGGCTCTGGAAATCAGAGGAATTGATCAGTGTTGTGCTGCCTCTCAGGGCCGGAACGGGGTGTAGGAATCTTAGCTCACCTTTTCTCTTCCTCCTACACAAAACTGCTGGTGCTTTAGGTTAGCTTCTCTTTATTATTTTGTTTCTTATCTAAAGCAGGTGTGGTCAGACAATAGCTGGAGGGCCAGGTCCTGCAGCTACCTGTTTCAGTCAAGTTTTACTGGAACACGTCCACACTGATCCATTCACCTGTTGTCCATGGCGGATTGCCCACTGAGGCAGAGTTGAGTAATTGCACCAGAGACCACAGGACCCACAAAGCCCAAACTAGTCACTGTCTGCCCATTTACAGAAACGCATGCGGAACTCTGCTTTCAAGCGTGAATTGTTTAGTTTGGCGGTTGACATTAGATTCCTAGGCCTGTGGTAACAGAGTACCACAAATTTGGTGGCTTAAAACCGCAGAAATGGATTGTGTTACAGCTCCGGAGGCCAGAGATTCTAGATCCAGGTGTCGGCAGGGCCGGTCCCTTCCGGAGGTTCCGAGGGAGAATCAGCCCCGGCGTCGCCCAGCTCCTGGTGGCCCCCGCATCCTGGCCTGCCTGGGCTTGGGGTGCATCACCTCCGTCCCTGCCTTTCTCTTCACAGAGCATTCTCCTGAGTGTCTCTCTGTGTCTTCACGTGGCTGTGTTATAAAGACAACACCCTAAGCCGGTATGGCTGCATCGTAACTAATTACATCTGTAACTACTGTATTTCCAACTACGTCCCTTTCTGAAGTGCTGGGTGCACATGGATGTGTGGGGCCACTTTTCAACCCCCTGCAGGGCTGCATTAACTTGGCTGTGTGAGCTTTCTTCAGTGGCTTTGCTCAAAGTTTTGTGGACGTGGGGGTATTTTCAGTCTTTTTAAAATATATTTTTATTGATTTCAGAGAGGAAGGAAGAGGGAGAGATAGAAACATCAATGACGAGAGAGAATCATTGATTGGCTGCCTCCTGCACGCCCTTGACCAGAACTGAACCCAGGACCCTTCAGTCCACAGGCTGACGCTCTATCCACTGAGCCAAAGCAGCTAGCCGGCAGCAGTTCTCAACCTGTGGGTCGTGAACAATGAAAATACATCCTGCATATCAGATATTTACATTATGATTCATAACAGGAGCAAAATTACAGTTATGAAGTAGCAACGAAAATAATTTTATCGTTGGGGGTCACCACAACATGAGGAATTGTATTAAAGGGCCGCGGCATTAGGAAGGTTGAGAACCACTGGGCTAGGGCGTATTTTCAGTCTTAATGTGGCAAGCACTTATTTTGTGGAACCTACATGGTCCAGTCCTACTCTCTGAGGATTTGAAGTGGGGCATCCCAGAGCATAGAGAGGACTTCCTCTGAGAGGAAGACCCTCCCCTTCCTCCCACTCCTGCCCTCTTCCTGCCCTCCCACCTCCCACC